GCCTAGAAGATTTAATTATTGTGGATAAATTTAACCACAGTGCATTTAGTCCTCCTCTATTCTTGAATCTCCTTGATATAATCCATAAATTTTTCTGTTCACCATGTCACAAACCAGCTCTGGCTGGCTGATGTGGAGATCCTCAAGTTTATCCCCATGTTCAAAGCAGGATCAGAGAAAAGAAGTTGCTCAGGACTGTGACCAGTTGGTCTGAGTATGTTGAAGAATTGAGGAATCTATACAATCGCTGGGCAACCTACCCCACTGCCTGACAACCCTCACAGTAAAATTCCTTTTTCTTATGTTTAAATGGAGCTTAATGTACTTCAGTTCATGCCCGTTTCTTTCATCCTGCCACCAGGCACCACTGAGAGGAGTTTGGCTCTGTCTTTACTCCATCCCATCAGATATTTGTACACATTGATGAGACCTCCCTGAGCCCTCTCTTCTCTTGGCCTCTCCTCATACGAGGGATGCTCCAGATCTTTAATCATCTTAGTGGCCCTCTGCTAGACTTGCTCCATTAAGTCCATCCATGTCTTTTGTGCTGGGGAGCCCAGGACTGGAACCTGCACCCCAGGTGTTTCTCCCCAGTGCTGAGCAGAGGGGAAGAGTCACCCTCCCTGACCTTCAGGCAACACTCCTCTGAAGGCAGCACCAGGATGTCACTGGCTGACTTTGCTGCAAGGGCACGTTGTTGCCTCATGGCCATTTCACTCACCAGGACCCCCAGGGCCTTCTCTGCAAAACTGCTTTCCAGATGCTTGGGCTCCCTGGTTGGTATAAAGGTCTTATTTTTCAAGAATGTAGAGGCAGGACTATGACCCCATATCCCCTTCCCAATGACAGTGTGTGATCACTCCACTGAGCACAATGTTTTTGCCTTTGTCAGGAACAGTAGAGCTGTGAATAGCAATGTTCATGCTTACATTTCTTCATTAACATCTGAGTACAATCAGTTGTATTTACCATTGTCCTCCAGTTTGTTTGTTCTTCTCAGCATCAGCTTTGACAGCTTCTGATTCTGTTTCTGGACTCATGCCTTTTGTCTTTCTTTCCTCTATTCTAGCACTGTGAACCTTCGCAGAAAGAGGACTCTTTATCCTCTTTGTCTCTAGACCCAAGCTGTGCTTCTCTACAGAAGGAAGGCTGGAATACACCAGCAGGAATATTGAGTTATGTCAACTATTGCATTACGGTTGCAGTTTGTCCCACAACCAAAATGAACAGAGAGGCATGGCCTGAATGGAGGTCAATGAAAAGAACACTAGAGCAACAACTGGCCTATTTCTAGCTGACCTCTATTTCTTCTCATCAGATGAGGAGGAGCAGTAGAAGTGCAATACAGTGACTCCAGCAAAGAGGATTATGGGCTCTTGTGGCCCAAATGATCTCTAACTCCATGAAGACTTTGCATAGACCAACCGAGGACCCCAGCTCAACAGGACTTTTGATTTTAATTCAGCCCATACTCCTTTTCTTTTTTATAAACTATGTGATTCGAAGGACGGAAGGGAGTCTTGCTGGCAGATGCAGCTGAGGACCATAGTGGTAGATTGAGGGAAGACATTGGCAAAGCAGAGCAAGCTCAACAGAGGCCCGCAGATGAGGGTATGTTGCAAATAGTTGGCATTAATTTGCTTTTGATATGTGACATAATCCCACTTATGTGCAAACTGCAGGGAAACAAGCCTGAAGTTTCAAATGCAGAACAGAAATATAAATATTTATAAGACCAGGACTATCTGCTGAAGAAAGCCTGCTGGGAATTTACTGCAATGTTTTACAGTCTGCTTAAGTAAGTAATTATCTATTAGCAGTAAGAAAATAACATTGTGATAATTGAGGAAAGGAAATATGTATATTCACCATTCTGGTTCCAAAGGTAACACTGGGCCTGCACATAGAGTTAAGATAATTTATAATAAGGGCATATGCTGGTTCTGGCTGGATTTTCACCCCTAGTGCTACTTCCAGAGCAACACAAATTATCCAGTGAACAGAAGCTTTACCACTCCTGTATAATCATTCTGTACAAATCAAGTAGTGATAAAAAATATTGCCTGATCTGAGATAGGACGGGCCAGATCGACCTTTGGAGCCTCATTCTTTTACAGATGCAGGGTATAAATTCTAATGCTCAGTTTTACTGGGATGTCTTGGCAAGATGGGTACCACCAGGGCCTTGCTGGCATTATTCCTTTTAAATGCAACGCTCCTGGGTGCCACCTCGCCTAATCCCCATTCTTCCAGAAAAGGTAGGAAAAAGGGTGTGTCACTTCTCTACACTGGTTCTATAGAGGGAACTCACATGCCAGTTTAATCAACGTTTTGCAAAGATTTGAAGTAAGTCAGATTGAAATCAGATAACATCATGTTGTCTTATTAAAACTGTAAACTGATATCATGATTAAGTATTATTTGTGTTGAAGATAATTTAGTGTGATGAAATTATTACTGTTTTGCAGTAGTGTCTTGCAGCATAGTTTAAACTAAAATTTTAAAAGAATACTACCATGAAAATACTACTGAAAGATTTTGTTCCTACATATTTGTCGTTTTCAGTATGGGATTAAGAGGGAATAGAGTTTCTTTGGCTGTAATGCATGTTTGCTTTAAAACACTCCAACCTTGCAAATGCACATGGAACCACCAAATACTTATTAGCTTTATATAATTTAATAGAAATGCAATAGAAAGGCACAGTTGCTATCCTGTACAGTGTCATGAGGTCCCACATGTGTGCATTATGTTATGTTCCTGCTAGGAATTTCTTCTGTTCTGGACACCTGTCTGTTCACTGTTCTTTGCAGCTATACATAGTAAAAACCCATCCATTATATCCCTGGGAATATTGGCAATATAGTGTGTGTTGCTAATTTTGTCCACTGCTTTCATAAAAACAGTTAGAGATGCTTGAATTATAAAAACAGAAAACAGAGGGGGAAAAAAAACTAATCCAAAGAAATCAGAACAAGAGACATTTGAAGCAATAAAACCACAGAACAGAGAAGCCAAAAGAGCAATACCAAAAACAAGCCAGAGTTTGAAATTTTTGTAGGCAGCCTGACTCACATACACAATGAATTACTGAGTATTATTCAGATGAGGGATGATTTGAATAAACCACGTTATATAAACATAACAGTGTGACTCAAACCCATGGCTTTACACATCACTTCTTAAATTCCCTTAATTTGGGAAGGGTTGGAGGGAGCATAGGGATTTTTTGTTTGTTTTAAATCAATTTTGAAGAACGCATGAATCATTACTTATTAAAGTGACTCTGTCTTTCCAAAATAATTTCCTACTACAAGAATATGTATTTTAATAATGCAGCCCAATATAGACTACCTGACCCAACCTAGAAGTGAAGGAGGAATTTAGATAGCGATTATTGTTTGTTTTTCTTTTACATTAACCTCTGATACATGTCTCACTGTATAAAGTCACTTCTTGAATGTGTGGGAATTATCAAGTACTTTGTGTGTGCTACTGAAAATAAAAAAGGCTTGAGAAATATACAGTGCTTCTAAAATGCTGCCTCGGATCATGGACCATGACTAAGCATGTCCCTGATTTATTTTTACATGAAAATCTTGAATACATTTACTTATTAGATATAAAATGCAAGTTTTCTTTGTACTTGTTTTACTTTTTTTTTTTACTACACATTTAAGTTTACAGAACAAAATCACAGTTGCAGATAAACATGTGTTCAACAACTAAAAGTACTGTGGGTGTTTCAAATTAGAAGGACAGATTTAAGGAAGTTCCACAACTGTTCTGTATTAGTCATACCCAGACATAGGAACTTTGAGTGTTTTTCTTTATTCGTTTGACAATAAGAGTGCAATGTTTGGTTTACTGAATTTCTAGCACTTTCTGTCCGTTCCTAGCAAATACACACTAAGAATTGTCACTGAAAATTAATATATTACTCAAAAATCCAAGCTAATTTTCTTTAGTCTGACCAAGCATTATTTCAAACATGCATGTATGATAACTAGGTTTGCTAAATGGCAGATCTGCCCTCAGTTGTCTCTGTTGACAGACTTTTATTAACTGAAACAATAATTTTGTGAGTCTTTCTGGAATATGACATCACTGGTTACCTCTTAATTCCCAGAGACCTTGCTCGAGAGCTTTGTCTTGCATCCCAAAAGATGCATCTCTCAAGGGAAAACATACTTCATCTGAATTTGTTTATTACATGTATTGCAAATTAAGTCACCGAAAGCAGCCATGTACAACAAGAACCCAAGAATAATACACTCACAGAACCACAGAGTTACAGAATGATTTGGATTGGAAGGGAACTTTAAAAATCATCTAATTCAACCGTCCAAAAATAGGCAGAGACAGCTTCAACCAGAGGATGCCCAGAGATATGTTCAACCCGACTTTGAAAGTTTCCAGTGAAGGAAACATCTCAGGGTACAAAAAAAATTAGAACTCATCTGACTGAAAAGAAAATGTCTTGGAGATGTGTTCAAAAATTCTGGGTTTCTTTACTCCCACAACAGACGAACATCCTGCTGAGATGTTGCTCACAATCTCCCCTGTGACATGGGGGCACCAATATCCCCAGCACTGGGAGAAAACCCGGCCATGCTCCTTCATCCACCAGGGCCTCACTTGCTTCTTCCTCTTCCTTCCTTACAGAAGCAGAAAGCACGGCCTACAGAATACGTACTACAGGTGTGTGAGTTTTCTTCTATTTCTCTGAGGCATTCCTTTATAGGTGAATTAGTTACTATTTTGTAGATGTAAGTTGTATAATTTGCATATTGTAACGCTTTGGTAAAAAATTGTTATTGGTACTGTTTGAATTCTACACATGGGATATTGCCATTTAGGTGATTCTGTTACTGGGGATGGATTTCATAATATGTTGATTATGTGAGAGATTTTCCTTTGTTTCTTCTCTGATTTTATGGGATTTGGGCCAACACCTTTTGCTCAGACCCCCAGGGTCCCCACTGTCCATGTGACATGAGGGCACCAACATCCTCAGCACTGGCAGAAAACCTGGCCATGCTCCTTCATCCACCGGGGCCTCACTTGCTTCTTTCTCTTCCTCTTCTACAGATACCACAACCACGACCAGTACTGCAGGTAGGTTTGATTTTGTGCTTGTTTTTCTGGTCACTTCTTTTTTTGAACCAGTAAGTGCTGCAGAGGTTGGCATTTGGTCTTCTCTGTGGGAGAGCAGAGCCTGGGAAAAGCACGGCCTAATGAAAGGACAGTGGTACTGGTGGAACTCGTAGAGCATTGCCAAGGCCCCAGCAAGAGAAGGTGCCTGTGTGCTAGAGGGTCTTCCCAAGTTTTCCATTTCTCCCCCATTCCAAGGTGCCTCCCTGAGCCTGGTGAACATCAGGGTGAAAGGGTCTCATACAGATTTCCCACTCCATGGGCCAGGGCAACGTCTGGGATGAGGATTTCTGAATATGTTGATCATGTGGGAGATTTTCCTTTGTCTCTTCTCTGATTTTATGGGATTTGGGCCAACACCTTTTGCTCAGACCCCCAGGGTCCCCATTGTCCCTGTGACACAGGGGCACCAACATCCCCAGCACTTGCAGAAAACCTGGCCATGCTCCTTCATCCACCAGGGACCCACTTGCTTCTTTCTTTTCCAGAGACTACCACAACCTCACCCACAACTGCAGAAACCACTACTCCAGGTGGGTCTGAATTTGTGCTTGTTTTTCTGGCCACTTCTTTTCGGAACCTGGAAGTGCTGCAGAGGTTGGCATTTGGTCTTCTGTGTGGGAGAGCAGAGCCTGGGACAAGCACAGACTAATGAAGCCAATGGTGGGTGTGGTGAAACCTGCAGAGCACTGCCAAGGCCCCAGCAAGAGAAGGTGCCTGTGTGCTAGAGGGTCTTCCCAAGTTTTCCATTTCTTCCCCTTTCCAAGGTGTCTCCTTGAGCCTGGTGAACATCAGGGTGCGTAGGGGTGTGGAGAGATTTCCCACTCCATGGTCCACGGCACTGTCTGTGATGAAGATTTCAGTTTATGTTGATCATGTGGGAGATTTTCTTTTGTTTCTTCTCTGATTTTATGATATTTGGGCCAACACCTTTTGCTCAGACCCCCAGGATCCCCACTGTCCCTGAGACATGGGGGCAACAACATCCCTAGCACTTGCAGAAAACCTGGCCCTGCTCCTTCATCCACCAGAGCATCACTTGCTTCTTTCTCTTCCTCTCCTGCAGATACCACAACCACAACGGGCATCATATGTGACAGCCGTCCAGGTGGGTTCAAATTTGTCCCTGTTTGTCTGGCCACTGCTTTTCCCCCCACTCCAGGGGCCAGGGCACAGGAGCTCCTTCATCCACCAGGGCCTCACTTGCTTCTTTCTCTTCCTCTCCAGCAACTACCACAACCCCACCCACGACCGTAGGCAGCATTCCTCCAGGTGGGTCTGAATTTGTGCTTGTTTTTCTGGCCACTTCTTTTTTGGAACCTGGAAGTGCTGCAGAGGTTTGTCTTTGGTCTTCTGTGTGGGAGAGCAGAGTCTGGGACGAGCACGGCTTAATGAAACGATGGTGGGTGTGGTATAACTCGTAGAGCATTGCCAAGGCCCTGACAAGAGAAGGAGCCTGTGTGCTAGAGGGTCTTCTCAGGTTTTCCATTTCTCCCTCTTTTCCAAGGTGCCTCCGTGAGCCTGGTGAACGGCAGGAACCGCTGTGAGGGGCGTGTAGAAATTTTCTTCCCGGGGGGCCGGGGCACCGTCTGTGATGACAGCTGGGACCTGAGCGATGCCCAGGTTGTGTGCAGGCAGTTGGGATGTGGCTCTGCTGTTGCTGTAACATCAAGCAACGCCTTTGGACCAGGCAGTGGCCAGATCTACCTGGATGACGTGAACTGTGCAGGGTGGGAGTCCTCCCTCTTCCAATGCAGCCACAATGGCTGGGGCGTCCACAACTGTGGCCACAGTGAAGATGCTGGTGTTGTTTGTTCAGGTACCTTGGCTTTTCCTCCCCAGCTACCTGGACACTTTCTGCAATCGGCTCTTGTTGGCCACAATTATGTGTGTGTTGGAGATGTGTTCAGGAATATGTTTTTGATTCCTGCCACCATCCAAGACCACCCTTTTGTTCAGACCCCTAAGCTCTCCATTGCCCATGTGACATGGGGGCACCAACATCCCCAGCACTGGCAGAAAACCTGGCCATGCTCCTTCATCCACCAGGGCCTCACTTGCTTCTTTGTCTTCCTCCCTTACAGATGCCCTAATCATGAGAACCACTTTTGCTTCAACAACCATTCCAGGTTTGTGTGTTTTCTTCTATTTCTTTGAGGCATCACTTTAGAGGATAATTAGTTCCTATTGAGTAGATGTGAGGTGCAACATTTGCATTTTGCAATATTTAGAGGAAAAATCCTTATTCATGTAGTTTAAATCCTACACACGAGACTTTGCCGTATGAGTGATTCTGTTGCTGGGGATGGATTTCAGAACATCTTGATTATGTGGGAGATTTTCTTTTCTTTCTTCTCTGATTTTATGATATTTGGGCCAACACCTTTTGCTCAGACCCCCAGGGTCCCCATTGTCCCTGTGACACGGGGGCACCAACATCCCCAGCACTGCCAGAAAACCTGGCCATGCTCCTTCATCCACCAGAGCCTCACTTGCTTCTTTCTCTTCCTCTTCTACAGATACCACAACCACGACCACCACCATAGGCACCACTACTCCAGGTGGGTCTGAATTTGTGCTTGTTTTTCTGGCCACTTCTTTTTGAAACCTTGAAGTGCTGCAGAGGTTGGTCTTTGGTCTTCTGTGTGGGAGAGCAGAGTCTGGGAAAAGCACAGACTAAGGAAGCCGATGGTGGGTGTGGTGAAACCTGTAGAGCATTGCCAAGGCCCCAGCAAGAGAAGGTTGCCTGTGTGCTAGAGGGTCTTCCCAAGTTTTCTGTTCCTCCCCCATTCCAAGATGTCTCCCTGAACCTGGTGAACATCAGGGTGAGAAGCTTGCATACAGAATTCCCACGCTGTGGGCTGGGACACTGTCTGTGGTGCCAATTTCAATTTATGTTGACTGTATGGGAGATTTTTTTTTTGTTTCTTCTCTGATTTTATGGGATTAAGGCCAGCACCTTTTGCTCAGACCCCCAGGGTCCCCATTGTCCCTGTGACATGGGGGCACCAACATCCCCAGCACTTGCAGAAAACCTGGCCCTGCTCCTTCATCCACCAGAGCCTCACTTGCTTCTTTCTCATCCTTTCTTGCAGGTACCACAACCACAACGGGCATCATCTGTGACACCCTTCCAGGTGGGTTCAAACTTGTCCCTGTTTTTCTGGACACTGCTTTTCCCCCCACTCCAGGGGCCAGGGCACAGGAGCTCCTTCATCCACCAGGGCCTCACTTGCTTCTTTCTCTTCCTCTTCTACAGATACCACAACCACGACGACCACCACCACAGGCCCCACTACTCCAGGTGGGTCTGAATTTGTGCTTGTTTTTCTGGCCACTTCTTTTCGGAACCTGGAAGTGCTGCAGAGGTTGGTCTTTGGTCTTCTGTGTGGGAGAGCAGAGTCTGGGACAAGCACAGACTAATGAAGCCGATGGTGGGTGTGGTGGAACCTGTAGAGCATTGCCAAGGCCCCAGCAAGAGAAGGTGCCTGTGTGCTAGAGGGTCTTCCCAAGTTTTCCTTTTCTTCCCCTTTCCAAGGTGCCTCCTTGAGCCAGGTGAACATCAGGGTGCGTAGGGGTGTGGAGCGATTTCCCACTCCATGATCCAGGGCACTGTCTGTGATGATGATTTCAGTTTATGTTGATCATGTGGGAGATTTTCTTTTGTTTTTTCTCTTATTTTATGGGATTTGGGCCAGCACCTTTTGCTCAGACCCCCAGGGTCCCCATTGTCCCTGTGACATGGGGGCACCAACATCCCCAGCACTGGCAGGAAACCTGGCCCTGCTCCTTCATCCACCGGGGCCTCACTTGCCTCTTTCTTTTCCTCTCTTGCAGATACCACAACCCCACTCACAACCACAGAAAACACTACTCCAGGTGGGTCTGAATTTATCCTTGTTTTTCTGGCCACTTCTATTTCTGGAACTAGGAAGTGCTGCAGAGGTTTGTCTTTGGTCTTCTGTGTGGGAGAGCAGAGTCTGGGACAAGCACGGCCTAATGAAGCTGATGGTGTGTGTGGTGAAACCTGTAGAGCATTGCCAAGGCCCCAGCAAGAGAAGGTGCCTGTGTGCTAGAGGGTCTTCCCAAGTTTTCTGTTCCTCCGCCTTTTCCAAAGTGCCTCCCTGAGCCTGGTGAACATCAGGGTGCGTAGGGGTGTGGAGAGATTTCCCACTCCATGGTCCACGGCACTGTCTGTGAAAACGATTTCAGTTTATGTTGATCATGTGGGAGATTTTCTTTTGTTTCTTCTCTGATTTTATGGGATTAGGGGCAACACCTTTTGCTCAGACCCCCAGGGTCCCCATTGTCCCTGTGACATGGGGGCACCAACATCCCCAGCACTTGCAGAAAACCTGGCCATGCTCCTTCATCCACCGGGGCCTCACTTGCTTCTTTCTCTTCCAGAGACTACCACAACCACCACTGACAGCACAAGCACCACTACTCCAGGTGGGTCTGAATTTGTGCTTGTTTTTCTGGCCACTTCTTTTCGGAACCAGGAAGTGCTGCAGAGGTTTGTCTTTGGTCTTCTGTGTGGGAGAGCAGAGTCTGGGACAAGCACGGCCTAATGAAGCCAATGGTGGGTGTATTGGAACATGTAGAGCATTGCCAAGGCCCCAGCAAGAGAAGGTTGCCTGTGTGCTAGAGGGTCTTCCCAAGTTTTCTGTTCCTCCCCCATTCCAAGATGTCTCCCTGAGCCTGGTGAACATCAGGGTGAGAAGCTTGCATACAGAATTCCCACGCTGTGGGCTGGGACACTGTCTGTGATGCCAATTTCAATTTATGTTGACTGTATGGCGATTTTTTTTTGTTTCTTCTCTGATTTTATGGGATTAGGGGCAACACCTTTTGCTCAGACCCCCAGGGTCCCCATTGTCCCTGTGACATGGGGGCACCAACATCCCCAGCACTTGCAGAAAACCTGGCCATGCTCCTTCATCCACCAGAGCCTCACTTGCTTCTTTCTCATCCTTTCTTGCAGGTACCACAACCACAACGGGCATCATCTGTGACACCCTTCCAGGTGGGTTCAAACTTGTCCCTGTTTTTCTGGACACTGCTTTTCCCCCCACTCCAGGGGCCAGGGCACAGGAGCTCCTTCATCCACCAGGGCCTCACTTGCTTCTTTCTCTTCCTCTTCTACAGATACCACAACCACGACCACCACCACAGGCCCCACTACTCCAGGTGGGTCTGAATTTGTGCTTGTTTTTCTGGCCACTTCTTTTCGGAACCTGGAAGTGCTGCAGAGGTTGGCCTTTGGTCTTCTGTGTGGGAGAGCAGAGTCTGGGACAAGCACAGACTAATGAAGCCGATGGTGGGTGTGGTGGAACCTGTAGAGCATTACCAAGGCCCCAGCAAGAGAAGGTGCCTGTGTGCTAGAGGGTCTTCCTAAGTTTTCCTTCTCTGATTTCATGGTATTTGGACCATGACATGACTTTCCCTGTCACAGATATGGCTGAAGCCTGACTGCAAGGTTCAGTCAGAGTTCTTTGAAGAGTTCATCACACCTGTAGTCTAACTAAGAAGAGAAGCCATTCAGTTTCCTTTGAGATTTAACCTCCTTTTGTTTTGGCTTTGTTACATACAATATTCTTCTTTTTATTATAATTAAGTGTAAGTGAATCATATCTAAATCTTCTTTTCTTTTTTTTTTTTTTTTCAGACACAAGTTTTTTTTGTGGTAGCCTACTTTTTACTCCCTCCGGGACATTTGAGAGTCCTTATCCTTTGAATTATCCAGAGAGAGCAGATTGTTTGTGGGAAATACAAGTAGCAAATAATTTTCGCATTATGCTGACATTCGAAAGTGTTCAGTAAGTAAACCACTTTCTACTGGGCAATAAATAGATTCCAAATCTCAACTGCATCCACAGTTCCTGGGCACATTTCCCGTCCTCTAAGTGAATGATAAATATACATGGGAATTATGTGAATGCAGTATCCTATTTTATTGTTTGTTCAGCATTGAAAAACCAAAGTTTACCAAATGCATTTCATTATATGTTCAAATTTCTTCTTCAGGTTGCTGGGTGGATGCCTGTATGACTATATTGAGATCTATGATGGGCCACCCAATACTTCACCTCTACTTGGAAGAATTTGTTCTACTTCTAAACTCACATACAGGTCATCCTCGAACTTCATGACTGTCAAGTTTTACAGTGACTCCAAATATTCCAATGGAAGGTTTCGGGCTCAGTATAAGTCCTTTCCAGCAGACCAGAATACCAGTAAGTTTCCATTCTATTTATAATTCCATTCTGTTTGTGATGTTTTCTTTTCTCACAAGCTTTTATAGGCTGATTTTATTTGCCATATAAATATGGGTTACTTTGGCTGAAGAAATCCCACATAATTGACATTCCAACTTGAATTTTGCAACTAATTATTGACCGGTCACTTTCAGACAATAATTATTTTTTCTTCTTAAAAAAATCTTCAGGTATCAGTTTAATTGCCTCTAGATGTTTTCTATGATGTTTTCTAAATTCATATTTCTTTGTATCACATCAAAATTCATATATATTTTTGTACCTTTCTGGGCAAATTTTCATAGAATCATAGAAATATTGGTTAGAAAGGACTTTTGGAGGTTTCCTTGTCCAACTATTCAAAGCAGAGCTTTTGCCAACACCTGGTCAGGTCCATTATGAACTTGTCTAACTCTGTCTCTAGAAATATTCAAAGGATGAAATACTCAAAGCTACTTTTCTGGGTGACCTCTTCCAGCACTGTCCTGCAGTCCCAATGCTAAGGTATATCTCAAGCACACTCACAACCTCTCCAGCACAAACATTTGGCTCTGTTGTCTTTTTAACTGCTTTTCAAGAGGCTGTGTGTTGCCAGTAGGTCCTTGTTATCAGGTATCTCACTCCACCAAAGGCCAAACTCTCCGTGGAACCATTGCTTTTCATGTCATGGACTCAGTGAAGCATTGTGGAGACAGTATCAGGATCCCCTCCCAGCCAAACTGTGTTTCTGTAAACCAGTCTGAAACTTCAGCTCTACGCCTTCCACAATATTTTTCGGATTCTTATTCAGGAAAAGCTCCCACTTCTTATCATTTTTGTGTGAGTGGTGATACAGGCTCAAGGTGTCAGCAAAAAACTATTGTAAGCTACGTGTTTTTGCCAGGGGAGTAACTGAAGGTCAGCTGAAGTATGTCAGAGACTATTGCTTCCTCATATCTAAGTCTAAAGTGTAAAAGTAAGCAGTTTGGCTTATCTCTAGATGATAGCAGGGACTGTATTTGTTGAAGTTGCAACATGCAAGCATTATCAAGTGCCTGGAACCACTAATAGTTCATATTTTCTTCCCTAGCCCTTGCGTGCTACCCAACCTCCATGCACGCAGTTGTGGACAGACGCTATCTCCAGTCACAGGGCTACTCAGTGAGGAGCATCAGCTTGCCTGACTCCAACTGTAGACCAACAATCACATCAACGATGGTTATATTCAACATTCCATACAATGGCTGTGGCACGCAGAGACTGGTTGGTGTCAACACATTTGGGAGAGCTCTGGGCATGGAAATTTAATAGACATTTAGAAAATAGTCTTGAATTGCAAAGGGTGTAGTAGGCCACAGGTATTCAAAACACAGAAAATAATCACATGTTTCTGGAGGCTAAAGTTTGTTAAATATTCCTATTTATCCTTTCCAGGGTTTAGGAAATCCCTGTGTCTATTTCAGAGTGATGTTTTAGAGAACAAGAGTAGAGGGGAGAGTTAAGTGAGCAACCCCATGCAGATGCTTAGGTATTTTTGAGCATGACATGTTCTTTCTGACTAATACTAAGACCTGGTAAATACAGAAGTTTATAGCACACACATGGTACACACAGTGAACACGACCACACGTGGTAATTTCGTACTCATTTAATGTGTCAAATAGGCCGACAGCGAAACCATCACCTACTCCAACGTGATAAAAGCGTCTGCTCCTGGTTACACCATCAAAAGGCAGAAGGACCTTCACCTCCATGTCAGCTGCAAAATGATCCAGAACACCTGGGTGCAAGTAGTGTACACAGCCAATGACATCACTGATGTCAGTGAAACCCAGTATGGCAGATACAACGTGGACCTGGCATTCTACAATTCCTCATCTTTCCTGTGGCCGGTGCAGAACTTCCCATACTACGTTGACCCGAATCAGAATTTGTTCCTCCAAGCATCTCTTCACAACTCTGACCAAAATCTGATAGTGTTTGTGGACACCTGCGTGGCATCACCGGATCCCAGTGATTTTAGAACGGCGACCTATGAACTGATCAAAAGGGGGTAAGAACTTTCTAAGGAATTACTTTGAAAGTATATGGATACTTCTGAAAGAGCTTAATTTGTGAAAGAGGTGATTTAGGGCCTGTGTACATTGGCTGCAATTCTCAGTACAAATACACTTCTAACAAAAACCTTTTGGCAAAGCCTGAATAAAATACAGTATGACAAAAAAATGCCATTCAGAAGTTGCAGTCAAGCATTGAGATTTCACTCGAGGATCTGCACTGAGATTTCTTCTCAAGTGCAGAAATTGAGGTCTGATTTTGCTTCTGAAATAAATGTATGAAACATAGGGATGTCAATAGCTCTACACTTTCATATATCACAATTAGAATTTTACAGCACCTTAGCTAGAATAGAAAACTTTCTACTCAAAAAGCAAAGAAGTCCCTTAGCCTTTTCTTGTTATTCTAGAAACCCAGAACATTTTGCTTAATTTTATACCAAGGTATATTGAGGCACTAAAGAACATGTTTATTAAAAAAAAAAAAGGTGTATTAGAATTAGTTTTGTGCTTCCAGAGTAGAAAAGGACACTTTCTCTTTCTTCAGCAACCTTCAGGAGCCTCTTTGCACACAGGCAAATGCAAAACAGGTTCGCAGCTGAAACACAGAAACCAGTAGAACCACTAGTCATTTTTCAGCTCTCCATGCTTACACAAACTTTGTTGAGCTACGAAATTTCTGTGCTGCGTGCATTTAATAATCCCTCCTCTTGCTAAAAGCACGCGCTTTTCTTAATCCTTCCGATTTCTGATTTTATATTTAACTCTGAAACTTACTGCACAAAGGTAATGCAATAGTGCTGCTATTCAAGAGGAGCTATTGGTCAATGGCTAATCTGCTGGTTTTATGTCTCCCCAGGTGTGTTAAGGACCCTACCTACTCTTTGCACTCCTCGCCGCGCGGCAGCGTCGCTCGGTTTTCGTTTAACGCTTTCTCCTTTGCTGAGCAATACCCGTCGGTTTACCTGCAGTGCGAGCTGGTGGTGTGCAGGCAGAGAGACTACTCCTCCCGCTGCTATCAGGGCTGTGTGAGTAGGCTCAAGAGGAATTCGGGTTCTTCCCAGGGACGGGTGAATGTTGTTGTTGGACCTGTGCAGCTTCGGGAAGCTCACGCTGAGAACAGGAACGCTGGTAAGTTTAAATACCTTAAATAACGTAAGACTCTGTGTGTTACTGTGTGTTTGCACTGCAGTTCAGACATGAAACCCATTTATTTGCAATTCTGCTATGATTCTTATGGGGATTATTATATTTTTTTAATATAATATTTATATTAGTTTTACAAGCTGTTTCCTTTCTGTCATGGTTTAGATCCATTCTTTGTTCTGCACAATGGCAATTGATTCAGTTCTGCAGAAAGAGGGATGAGCTATAACTCATCTCCCTGCTGGATTTATATTAATATTCCTAAGATGGCTGTGCCTGATTGGCATGTCTCTCATTCATTAATAATCAATCTCTAAGTCCCCTTTGACATGTTGCTTCCCAATGCCTTGTATCCATTGTTCCCACTGTCAGAAAATGGCATCTTGTGGTCTTTGAGTGTAATAATTACAGACTCTCAGATACTCTTTAATTTCTTGCCATAACCTTTTTGTGGGGCCACAGAATCATTTGCAGTAGAACAATTTGGTTTCTGATCTAACCCAGATTACAGCATTGTAATTCAAGTTCTCTTTGCCTAATTACCTCTGAGATTAACCAGGTCAGGAAAACAAATGTAAGCCTTTCTCTTTCTCTTTCATGCACAGAGCTCGACTCTGACATGCAGGCAAGAGGGGAGTCTCTGAGCTCAGAGCCTGCTGGCAGCTCCCACGTCCCCCTGGCTGTCACCGCCGTGGTGCTGGGAGCTGCTGCTCTTCTCACCATGGGAGGATTTCTTTTGAAGCGTGAGCTGCAGAAACCCATCCCCTACCAGATAATGTGAGAGGCAACCCAGGCTTGCAGGTGGAAGGATATTTTCACCAGCCATCTGCTTCATTGTTTGGTTTTGCAATCACTGTGAAGGGCAACTCTTACTTTACTATTTCACTATCTTCTCGTCAGAAGAACGTCTTGTATCAAGATTACACCTGATGTTACCATGAACTGAACTTTTAAAGCAGTCTGATTTTAAAACCTAGTCCAAACATACCTAAGGTGTAAAGAAACATTGATTCTTCCACCCTAGCATTCAAATAAGCACCTTCAATGCTGGACATTCCAGGGCATCTCAGCTGAACTCTTGGTTGAGTATCTGCCTGATTTAGGTGACTTGAGAAAGAACTTTGGCCACTGCTGATATGCAGATAAAACATCTGTGTAACACCATGAGATACTCCGTGTAGTCTAACAAAAATGTTACTTTACAGTAAAAAAAATCTCAATAATGAGCCATAAGCAAAAATGCACATAAGGAAGTATTCCTGTACAGTGATCCTTACTTTGGGGGGGTATGGATCTTCCCAAGTACGTGTTTCTCTGAGTAGATGTAGGCCATTTATAAGATTTTGTGTGGAGGATGAATATGATCAAATCTGTTAGATAAATGTGCAATAAAAGCATGAAAGAAAGTGGGGTTTTTTTTGAGTAGTACTCTTTTTTGTGTACTTGCAAACAAAGCACTTCTGTGCATGAACTCACAGCTAACACATTATCAGACTGGAAAATGTGGCTTCTGACAAAGTGACTTTTCTAAGCAACAATTGCTGCTCTTGCTCTCACACATTTCTACACCTGTGAAGTGGGGGAGGGAGAGAATGTACGTAAATTACCATAAGGAAGTGTGTCCTGTCTCTTATTCCCACGCGAAAACAAAATAAAAACAATAAAAAAAGGAAGAATTTCTTCAGAAGAAGCTACTTCATACAGGTGTAAAGGTCATTGGTGTTGATTGAGAAATGCCCTTCTTCAGACTTTCCTGTTTTCCAGCCAGCTATGAAAGAGGTAAGTTCATTTGGAACAGCGTAATGTACTAAGTGTGAGGTGAGCCAGAGTCAAAGTAGTGACGTGTAAGGAAGGTGTGCTGTACTCCAGGGTGACATTCTGACCTGACAAGGAGGATGTGGGCAGCTCTGACAGGAATCATCATTACAGCCTGTACCATTTCTTCCTTCAAGCTGCCTTCTCCTCATGATTCCAGGCAGGCCTCTCATCACCGCTCCATGTTGTGGAGATGGGATCATACACGTAGGGACTGGCACTGCACACAGAAAGTGTGAGTTTTGTTTTCCACACATGAGCAACAAAGATTGAGGGTCCTCGCCTCCTCTTTGCCTACAGGCACCCTAGAAGGGCAGAACAACCCAGGAGGGTGACCTGCCTTTCATCTAGTCCTGTTGTGTGGACCAGAGACTGTCCAGACTCAGGGGAGTCCAGTGATCTGCTCAGCACAGCAAGGGCTGCATTTGATGACGAGGAAAGGGTCATGCTCGAAGTACATGTGCCTGGTGAATGATGTCTCTGCCACAGACCTTCCTTCCCACCTCCTGTCCTCCCCCATTAGGGAAATCTACCAATAAATCCAGTGGTGGACAGTTCTGATCCACTTACATCCTCACCACCGACCAAATGCAGATCAGTTTGCACTGACATACTTCACATGACACAGGCAACAGAGCCAAGAGGCCATCAAGTAACCCAATAAATTAGACTAAACTGCCTAACTGCATCATAAATACCTTTCCTTTTTTCAGAAGTCTGTGGCTACCCTTTTTTCAGTGCAGATAGTTTCTTGTAGACACATGCAAAAGAGGATTAATCTTGTTTGTTCTTTCAGTGGTTTTCATTTTGATCTCACCAAAACCAGTATGTCTGCAAAGTGTCCTCACTTTCAGTCAGCAGAAGAGAAAGTGTTTTCAAAGCTTCTTTCACAGAGTGATGTGCTGGGAAATACCTCAAGCTGCCAGAAGACCTTAAGAACAAAAGTCTCTTACTGCAAGAGACTAATCTAACCAATGGGAAGGATGAAAACATGAGCTGTAGAGTATTTGTATTAATTAATTAAGATTAATTGAAACATACTATTTATCTATTTCTACGTGCAGAGATTGTCTGATAATCAAGATGTCTAGAAATATCTAGATTTTTGAAATTAAGAATTCATTAGTGAAGAGTGTAGTGAAGAATTAACCAATTTTGTTCTTTTACCTGGGCAGCTTAAGATGTTTTTTTAGACTTGAACCACCTAGGAATTCCTTTTGTGTTCCCCTTCCTCCTCACCCTTTTCAGTCATTGCAGGAGTTTGGAGAAGGATTGCGATCCATCACTTACTGTTGCTTCACTGATTGCAGAGTTTGATTGGCCAGTCAAATACACTGGATTTTTTCTGCTTCTTGTCAAGGTGTCAAAACCAGAAGAATATGAATAGTGAATACCAGGTGTTGTGTACATATCCTCATTCATGGGCAAATGCGGTTGTTTGGATAAAGAAGAAACATATTTACCCTTCTCAATGTTCACTCTCAAGCCTTCCAACGTTATCTTTGGCCTCTTGTATTTTACACTTCCTTCTTCCATTCCAATAATGTTGGCCTTTGTGGAAAGGCCTTCTAGGTCATTCTCTTTCTCCTTTGGCCTTTGGTTTTCATCCTTGATGACTGTCCCTGGAAGCAATAAATTTGTATATGGCAGCAATTTTAACTTGGGATAACTCCATCCAAGAAATGATGGCTGTAGAGGTAGGAACGAGATGGAAAACAACATTCTGGCTCTTCAGGGTAGGGATGCTCATCCCCTTTTTCTTCTTAAATTGTTAAAACACAGAAAGAGAGGAAAGTAATCACTCTGACAAGAGAGTGGTGAACGAGAATTAAGAATTATTTCATGTTGTGGAAAAGCTTTGAATTCATTCTTCAAAGAATGACACAGCTGTAACTGTCACTATGCAAAATTAAACAAGGAATATATTAAGAAATTTTCTTAATAGAAATCTGAACATTTTCCCCCTCATTTGTTGGTTCAAAGCATCAAAGGAAGTTTTAGAATAAAATTAAGTTGCAAGCAATGTAATTTTCTTAACTCTGTGCAAAATCTATTCATTTTTCTACAGTGTTTGCACAAAAGGTTATCAGCTGACCCCGATCCTCTGACACTTTTTTCCGATCTAACAGCCTCTCAGTGAATTTTGACTTGAGTTTTGGCTTGAAATTAAATGTGCCAAAAAAGAATGGGTTAATTGTGGGGGTGGAGGTGTTGACTTCAATTGCAAGATTCTTCAGAAACTTCCCAGTCACACTTCAACAGGGCCAGCAGGTCTAATCTTATTTTATTTAAAGTATGCTGAAGCTTTAGGACATTCTTGATTCCCCAGGAAGACTTGCCATACTGGTTGGTAAGTCTCTTTTACTGCTTTGCTGGAAGAAGCCCATTTAAGTTTCAAGATTCTGCTACCATCCTGATAACCTGTCAAGGAATCTCACCATGAAAGAAAAATACTGAGAGTCATCAGCTGGAATTGAAAGGTGTCTTTGGATAGGAGCTCATTCTTTTTTTTTGTACAATGAGATGATTGTGAAACCTATGGTAGCATAAATATTTCCTTCCAGGCAATGGAAAATGTTACTCTTGAGATGTTATCTTTTTGCAAAACCCAGGAAGTTACAAAATATTAAATAACAAATCAAACATATGTTTGTTTCAGATCAGAGGACTGTGGTTGTTTTATTGTTCTCCTGTAGAGAAAGAAACCTGTAGAGCCACTCCCCTTCAGAAATAGAGACTATATATTCTAAGGTCCTTTCTATCAATAGTACTCGGTAAGATGGGTACCACTATGATTTTGACATGGCTACTCCTGTTGGGTCCAGCAGTTCTGGAGGCCAAAACAGGTAAAAACCACTTAGACTTGTTCCAGGGTGCATAAAAAAATTTAATGCTTGGAGCTTCTCTGTTGATTCCGCAAACAGAATTTAGATTCATGTTTGTATCAGTCTGGGAAAAAGGCTAAAGCAGGAATTAGAGGAAAGAGATAGCACAGTTTTGTTCTACTAAAATGATGAACTAATCACCAGAGTGAATGGTAAGAACGTTTTGAACCGTTTAGTGGAGTTCATTTTGCTGTCACAGGGTCATACTCGTCTTAGTGCCTTGCATCATTTCGAGAATTGTGTCTGTGAGTATGTTATGAACGAGTCATTCCTCCAGTTCCAGAAATTTGATCTAAGAATAATGAAAATGATTATTTATTTATTTATTTATTTATTTTCAGTGTATATTTATTTCATAGTATATGCATGCATACGTATGCTATATATTTAATATTCCTTGTATTGTTTGGTTCTTCTTGGTCTTACGTACAATTTAATGAAATATAACAAGAAGTAAAGTTTTCTTACTCTAGCACTGTGGGTGAATGATGGACATCTGAAAATAATGATAGTGAGGAAATGCTTTCAGTTGAACTTTTTTATGGCCATTGAATTCTTCCTTACATGATTAGTTTCTATCTCCTAAGCGACTTGGATGACTTTTTTGAGCTAAATAGTTCTGTGTATATCTTAGAATAATTGCTGATGATTTTTCTAACCAGCCATTTAAACATTGTGATGAGAATTTTTGTTGCCATCGTCCACCTCATCCAATTTTCTCCATCTGTCCTCTACTTGCCCGCTGATGAGCCATCTCCCTTTGGCTGCTCTACTTCTCTCTGCTCTCTGCCTCTGTCTCCTGGGGCAGAGTATTTGCTGTCTAATCACAGGCTTTTGTCTTTTTGATACCTTTGAAGTGTGAGGCAGGACTCAATCCATCTCACTGCATCCCCAGCTGATGGCTGTGCTCTCACAGTGATGACAGACCTTGAATGAAAGCAAATTAACCTGGTTTAGATCAGCTTTAATTTCCTAATCCCGCGCTGACTTTTTGCCAGGTTTGATGTGTCACCTCTCAGAACTCCTGTGAGCGGGGTTCAAAAATGTGCAAGTTCAAGTAGATATTTGAAGAAACAAGTCAGATATAAGTCAAGGGGCACTTTTGTAGCTTCTCCCTTTGAAACGCATACAAATCAGGACAAATTTAGTTTGGCCACCGTCTTGACTGTACTTCTAGTCCAATAACAAAGAATCAGACGCAGTGAAGAAATCATGGAGCTGTTAACTCCTGAGATTTGTTTTGCTTTGGATGACTTAGTGTTTAATAACAAGGCAAATATGCACTTGGCAGAAAAGCAAAGGATAACAAGTGCAGTGTGCATGTTTTGAATTCCAAAGAGTAAATCCTGCAAATCTTAAGTTACTGCATTTGTTTGCTCACTTACACTTGGTGGTAAAGACTTTAATAAATGTCTTCACCAAAAATGATTCTCTGAAATCAGGATTTTCATGCTACTCACAGCAGAACGTCTAAACAAGCCAAATCAAAGTGAAAAGCAGATGTGTTTTACCTGAATGAATGCGGTAATCAGATGTATACATGATAGGTTATTTCTTTATTTCAGAAATCTAATTAAACTTCAGTTGTATATAAGAAATAAAGCCACTGAATTCCTATTGAAATCTTTATCATCCTGTTGAGACTATTGTCCGTTCTGTAGAACATTTGATGGAATTCTCCTCCCAGTAAAATTACTCTTAAAAACAATAGGATTTGGATTTGATGTGTGGACTCTATGTCCTTAAAATTCTCCTGAAAGTTCTAGAGGAAGAAAAGAAATTCCAGTTAAATTATTTAAACCATGGAGAGAAATACAGAATGAATACTGTCTTCTCTAGAATTCTATGGTTTATCTGAAGGATTCATTGGGCCTAATTTGGACATCATCTTGAGCAAAGTAGTGCCCTGATTCTCATCTTTCAACAGCGCACAATATCCCATGAATTGTAAGCTATCTGCCTGGCAGCTTTTATATGGCAGCACTATAGCAGCTCCAAGAACATAAGTTTAGGGAAAAGACACAGTCTTGGCTGTGCAAGATGAATCTTGCTGTGTCACTCAAGTCTTGTTGATCTGCTTGAGCCACTGCTCTGATTTCCCTTCTGCACTCAGATCAACAGAGGCTTTGTATGTCACACTGAAGAGCTGCACACACATGCTGCTGGTAAGATCCAGGTTGAGGGCAGGAAAGCCAGGCTCTGCATCCCAAATTCCAGCAGGATTCAATGCAAATTGTGATGTCTCTTTGTTCTTTAGCATAAAACATTTTGACAGCAGTGAGTAAAAGTAATACATAAATATGAAATGTGTTCTTAAAACATGATATTTTCTTCCTGTTTACAAAAAGAACAAAATTTAGTGCTATTTTCTTAATACAGTTTTACTTAGCTTTCATCAAGAGACTGAAATTAAGTTTCTCTCTTTTTCTTTCCTATTATAATTTGCTTATTAGTGAGGAATTTCCTTTCTAGCTTAAATAGTTTTTGCTTAGCCTGCTTTCTGTCTTTACTGTAGCAATCTTGCATAAAATATACACAGCTGATTTTGAGATCTGGAAGAGAGGAAGGAAAAAAAGGTGTGAATAAACCTCTGTCCTTACAAGCACTTAATATTGGGCTGGGCAAGCACCTTCTAGAAACAATAGGGCAAGAGGACAGAATACTCCTTACAGTCACTTCCAGCTTATTTGTCTGACTGTTTTGTGCTCGATTCCCTCTCTCCCAAAGCTCCCTCTATCCAGCTGGTGAACGGAAGGCACCGATGTGAAGGTCGCGTTGAGATCCACTACAGAGGACAGTCGGGGACAGTTTGTGATGATTACTGGGACCTTGCCGATGCCCAGGTTGTGTGCAGGCAGCTGGGATGTGGCCGGGCCATTGCAGCTATGGGAAGTGCATACTTTGGGCAAGGCTCTGGCAGCATCCTGCTGGACAACGTGAGGTGCAATGGGAATGAGATGTCCCTGTGGCGTTGCAATCACTCGGGATGGAGGATACACAACTGTGCCCACTACGAAGATGCTGGTGTTGTCTGTTCAGGTGCTGTCACATTTTTCTTTTCTAAACAATTTTGCTATAAATTGCACTCCATCTGTATGTGTCAGCATGGGGGTATGCAGACATTCTCCTACTAGATAACGTTTCATTCATTCAAGACTAAAAGCTATACTAGATATAGGTCTAACATTTTTTTCTACTTTATTATGAAGAATTTTCTATCTGTGGAAGGGCACACTCCCTCTGAAAAGGTCTGTTCACAGGAAGCACAGTCTGATCTTCCAACAACCCTGTCTTTTCACCCTGCTGACCCTGCAGAGCCAGCATGGACTCAGGTTTTCTCACCAGGGTGACATACAAACTGTGCTTACTCATCCACACAAAGCAATTTAAAGCCTCAAGGATCAGATATATATTGCAATATGCAGAATATTAATTCCATCTAATCACCCGGCAGAGGCAATAAGGAAACAAGTAGAAATTAAAGTCAAAGTTATATCTGGTATCAGTTTATCAGGGAGGAATGGGGTTAGGTGAACTCTTAATGGATTCTTTATGGGCAATAGTAATTTTACAGTCACAACCCAAATTGTCATTGCTGACAATTCACTTTGCATTGTTTCCATATTTTTCAAGTTTTTTTTCAAACTTAGGTCCATTAATACCTGTTCCCTTTATAAATATCCATCCATTTTGAGTAGTCTGTCACCCTGTTGTTTTGTCATTCTACTTGCCCATTATTTTTTAAGATAATGTAGATAATCTGTATCTTATTTCCTTGAGATGATCGTGAACTGAGACATGGCTGATGGCAACAGTTTGCTCATAAAACAGTTTGTTTTATGTACATATTGCAGTTTTCCACATTTTCTCAGGGAGTAAGAGCCTGGTGGGTTGAATCTATACTAGAGGAAAATGCTACCTACAACAGTGCTTTTTAAGTCTCTTTTAGTACAATTTATTTGCACACCAGTACCTTACCCTGCTTTCATCATCTGGAAATACCACTTCCAAGAAAAATTTTCAACTGGTTGTTACCCACCTCCATTCTATCCATTGACCCCAGAAAAGATGGAGTACGCCATCAGAGTAATTTACCTTGATTTCACTTCGTCCTTAAGGAACTGGGCTTGTAGGTAACACACAGATGCACCCATTGCACAAGCACAGTCCTCACGTGTGGGGTGGTTTTTCTTCTGGGTTCACAGAAGAGGCTGATGCAGCATCGACAACCACCGTGGCACCAGCAACAGCAACACTGGAGGCAGTGTTCGAGTTGCCTCTAGTTGTTGAAACTACAACATTCCCAGAAACAACGGAATTTCTAACAGAGACAACAACCTCAGCATCAACAGAGATGACGACATCCCGAGGGGAGACAACCATGTCAGCATTAATAGCCAGCACAATGGAGACACCATCATCAGGGCCACCAACCAGCATGGTGCCACTGACCACCAGTGCAGAGCTGTCATTCTCAGAGATGACCACCGCAGTGCCAGTGACAACCCTAGAGATGACAACCCTAGAGACATCAACCCTAGAGACATCAACCACCAAACCACTAATGACCTCCCTAGAAGACATGTTCCCTTCACCAGAGATGACCACCACAGTGACATCTAGTTCCTCACCACCGATGTTTACCCAGCTTGATACAACCACCACAGCAACACTGGCCACTGCAGCTGAGGAGAGCAGAGCAGGTAACCCTGTCCACTGTCACTCACTGTTCTCTTTAGTGTGCCTGAACTTCCTTCACAGGCCTGATTGCACTGCAGGAAAATTCCCAGAATGGCAGGACAGAGCTCCTGGCTCTCTTCCTTAGTCCTCTCTTAGTGCTCCAGCTCTGCTTGTCATGTCCACTGCTATGTCCATTGTCATTGAACTAATGACCTCCCTAACAGAGACGTCCAGTGCACCGGAGACAACCACCACAGCCCTACCAACCAGCACAGCCCCACCACCCTCCACAGGCCTACCAACCTCCATAGCCCTACCAACCTCCACAGCCCTACCACTCTCCACAGCAGAGGCATCCACCTCAACAGAGGTGATCCCCACACTGAGAACAACTACCACAGCAGAAGAGAGCACAGCAGGTAACCTTGTCCACTCTCACTCACTGGTCACCTTAGTCACCCTCATCTCTTTTCCAAGAGTGACCCTGACCCATGGCATGTTCCCGTGCCAGGTGCCAGGCTGCGCCTGCGGGGCGGCAGGAACGGCTGCGAGGGCCGCGTGGAGCTGTACGACGGCAGCACGTGGGGCACGGTGTGTGATGACCAGTGGGACCTGCGGGATGCCCAGGTGGTGTGTCGGCAGCTGGGCTGTGGGGAGGCCCTGGGTGCCCCACGCACTGCCCACTTTGGCCCGGGCTCCGGCCGCATCTTCCTGGACGACGTGCAGTGCCGTGGGGACGAGCCCTCCCTGCGGATGTGCAGGCACAACGGCTGGGGAGTGCACAACTGTGGGCACGTGGAGGATGCCAGTGTCATCTGTGCAGGTGGGTGGGCAGCAGAGACCACGGGATTTTTTGCAATCACTCTGAGTGGGTTCTGGATGTGTCTGCTGGGAACAGCCGTGCTGACCTCCCTTGGGAGAGCCAGGGCAGTGAGGAGAGGTTGGGGTCTTCTGCTGCCTGGGGCTGGTAGCCCATAACATGCAAAAGCCCTGTTGTTTCCCACAGGCCAGGGCATCGCAGGCTCTGCACACTTTCTATTGTAGATGGTCAGTGAGGGGGCAAAGAGCAGGATGGTGGGATTGTTTTTTGGGAGGATGGGGCCACACTGGAGAAATATCAGACTGGTGTCTGGATGGGGGAAAGATAAGACCCACTCTCTCTTCCTCCTTTAGTTCTCCAGCTTGGCTTCTTATGTTCACGTCCATGACCATATCCACAACCGTGTCCATATCCATGTCAATCCACTACCACAAGCCAGCTGCATTCTCTGCCCTTTCATTCATTGCCTCTTCTTTCTTGCAGGCACCCGTCCAACCCCTCCTGCTCAATGGCCACAACACACAACAGGTAATTGCTGCTCAGCCAGCTTGCAACCAGTTTTACACCAAGCCCAGCCTGGAAAGAAAAGAGAACAGAGAGGATCTGCTGGTCTGATTCTGCTCAGTGCGTGACCACTGCTTCCCTCTGACCCTGACATCTCCAGGGGGCATGAGTTTTCCCCCTTAGGAGATAGGCCACACTGAATGGATCCCTGTCCTCTCCTCGTCCTGTTGGGACTGAACCTCCTCAGGTCATGGTCACTGGGGCACAATGTCCAAGACAGCTGGGGAGATGGGGGCTGTGGATGCCAGGCTGGAGTGACCCTGACCCATGGCATGTTCCCGTGCCAGGTGCCAGGCTGCGCCTGCGGGGCGGCAGGAACGGCTGCGAGGGCCGCGTGGAGCTGTACGACGGCAGCACGTGGGGCACGGTGTGTGATGACCAGTGGGACCTGCGGGATGCCCAGGTGGTGTGTCGGCAGCTGGGCTGTGGGGAGGCCCTGGGTGCCCCACGCACTGCCCACTTTGGCCCGGGATCCAGCCGCATCTTCCTGGACGACGTGCAGTGCCGTGGGGACGAGCCCTCCCTGCGGATGTGCAGGCACAACGGCTGGGGAGTGCACAACTGTGGGCACGTGGAGGATGCCAGTGTCATCTGTGCAGGTGGGTGGGCAGCAGAGACCACGGGATTTTTTGCAATTACTCTGAGTGAGTTCTGGATGTGTCTGCTGGGAACAGCCGTGCTGACCTCCCTTGGGAGAGCCAGGGCAGTGAGGAGAGGTTGGGGTCTTCTGCTGCCTGGGGCTGGTAACCCATGTCATGCAAAAGCCCTGTTGTTGCCCAAAGCCAGGGCATCGCAGGCTCTGCACACTTTCTGTTGTAGATGGTCAGTGAGGGGGCAAAGAGCAGGATGGTGGGATTGTTTTTTGGGAGGATGGGGCAAGACTGGAAATATGTCCGACTGGTGTCTGGATGGGGGAAAGATAAGATCCATTCTTTTTCTGCCTTTAGTCCTCCAGCCTGGCTTTTCATGTCCATGGCCACGTCCATATCCATTCCATGCACTACCACAAGCCAGCTGCATTCTCTGCCCTTTCATTCACTGACTCTTCTTTCTTGCAGGCACCCGTCCACCCCCTCCTGCTCAATGGCCAAACACAACAGGTAATTGCTGCTCACCCAGCTTACAACCAGTTTTACACCAAGCCCAGCCTGGAAAGAAAAGAGAACAGAGAGGATCTGCTGGTCTGATTCTGCTCAGTGCGTGACCACTGCTTCCCTCTGACCCTGACATCTCCAGGGGGCATGAGTTTTCCCCCTTAGGAGATAGGCCACACTGAATGGATCCCTGTCCTCTCCTCGTCCTGTTGGGACTGAACCTCCTCAGGTCATGGTCACTGGGGCACAATGTCCAAGACAGCTGGGGAGATGGGGGCTGTGGATGCCAGGCTGGAGTGACCCTGACCCATGGCATGTGTCCGTGCCAGGTGCCAGGCTGCGCCTGCGGGGCGGCAGGAACGGCTGCCAGGGCCGCGTGGAGCTGTACGACGGCAGCACGTGGGGCACGGTGTGTGATGACCAGTGGGACCTGCGGGATGCCCAGGTGGTGTGTCGGCAGCTGGGCTGTGGGGAGGCCCTGGGTGCCCCACACACTTCCCACTTTGGCCCGGGATCCGGCCGCATCTTCCTGGACGACGTGCAGTGCCGTGGGGACGAGCCCTCCCTGCGGATGTGCAGGCACAACGGCTGGGGAGTGCACAACTGTGGGCACGTGGAGGATGCCAGTGTCATCTGTGCAGGTGGGTGGGCAGCAGAGACCACGGGATTTTTTGCACATCGTTCTGAGTGGGTTCCTAATTTTTCCTCTGGGAGCAGCCATGCTGACCTCCCTTGGGAGAGCCAGAGCAGGGAGGAGAGGTTGGGGTCTTCTGCTGCCTGGGGCTGAAGCCCATGGCATACAAATGCCCGGTTGTTGCCCACAGCCAGGGCACAGCAGGCTCACCACACTTGCTGGTGAGGTGACAAAGAGCAGGGTTGTGGGATTGTTCTTTGGGGAGGATGGGGCTGGACTGAGGACAAGTCATGCTGATGTCTGAATGGGAGAAGGGCAGGACAGAGCTCCACACTCCCTCATGTCATTAGTCCTCCAGCTCTGCCTGTCTTGTCCTTTGCCATGTCCTTTGCCATTGCACTAATGACCTCCTTAACAGAGACGTCCACCCCACTGGACATGAGCACCACAGAGCCATCCACAGCCAGAGCAGATGTGTCCACCCCAGCAGAGGTGACCATCCCAGTGACAATGCCTGCCAGAGCAGAGGAGAGCACACCAGGTAACCCTGCCCATGATCACTCAGTGGTCTCCTTAGTGTCCCTGAGATCTTCCTTCCAGACCTGATTGCATTGCAGGCAGTCTCCCAGACTTAGGCCACTCCAGTTAGGCCATTCCTGGCACCCCAGACCACAGGGATGATGCAAGCAGAGCATGGAGAAGAGTTGGGAAAACACTAGGGGGACACTGGGGCTTGAGTCCAGGAACTCTGTAGCCATTGATGGTGAGGGAAACTATTCAAAGAGGGATTCCTTCTCACTGCAACCAAGGGCAATGCACTGGGGGAATCATTCTGCTTTGCTCCTCCAGCTCATGCATGGGCACTATAGCAGAGCAATTTCCCACACATGTTCAGGGCTTTGGAATATGACAGGAAAAAAGCAAGCTGTTACATCAAGTGTTTTGCAATTCAAGATAGGTCACTGGGGGCTCAGGGCTCCTCCCCAGGGTACAGATGGCAAAGGTACCATGGTCATTTCAGCTGAATGAAAAACCACCACAGGACATAAGAGGAGTCACAGGACAGGGACTGCTTGCAGATGGGCTATTTTGGGGTGCCCGAAATGGGCTGGATCTGCTTGGAGCCTTTTTCATTGACACCAAATGCTTAATTGTACCTTTACCTCTATCTCACTGCAAGACAACATATTCCACAGGGAATTTCTGCCCACCACACCCATCCCTGTCCTTGCAGTGAACCTGCAGGCTCCCAGCTGTAAGAGCATATGTGGGGACAGGAGGGTACTGGGCTGGTGGGGCTGTGACCTGGTGCCTTGTGTCCGTGCCAGGTGCCAGGCTGCGCCTGCGGGGCGGCAGGAACGGCTGCCAGGGCCGCGTGGAGCTGTACGACGGCAGCACGTGGGGCACGGTGTGTGATGACCAGTGGGACCTGCGGGATGCCCAGGTGGTGTGTCGGCAGCTGGGCTGTGGGGAGGCCCTGGGTGCCCCACGCACTGCCCACTTTGGCCTGGGCTCCGGCCGCATCTTCCTGGACGACGTGCAGTGCCGTGGGGACGAGCCCTCCCTGCGGATGTGCAGGCACAACGGCTGGGGAGTGCACAACTGTGGGCACGTGGAGGATGCCAGTGTCATCTGTGCAGGTGGGTGGGCAGCAGAGACCACTGCCACGGTCCGAAAGGGGGAATGGGACCGTGGCACAGCACGGGTTCGGGACACGAGGGTGGGATGCAGGTAGAATGCTTTATTCACACGTGCACCCGGTCTTTTATCAGCTCGGGAGGGGAAAGGGCCAGAACACTGGGTGGAGCGTGCCACAGACAAGTGGGGGGGACAAACCAGGATAGGGATAGAGTCAAAAGAGGGAGGAACGTGGGAGGAACCGGGGAGAGAAGGGGTGAATGGAGGCTGTCTCCTGTCTGCAGCTTCTCCAGCCAATCGGCAGAGAAATAGAGGAGCGGGGAGGTGAACAGGCTGGGATGTACCCAGAAGATACAAATTCTGGGGGAACATACAATGTGTGTATACATAATAACTATAAAGCCTGCATCATAGAGTCCGTTCTATTGCTGTACATATTTTTCCATTTCTGGAATCGTTCCCATTCCAATTCTTGGTCCTTGACAGACCACGGGATTTTTTGCAATCACTCTGAGTGGGTTCTGGATGTGTCTGCTGGGAACAGCTGTGCTGACCTCCCTTGGGAGAGCCAGGGCAGTGAGGAGAGGTTGGGGTCTTCTGCTGCCTGGGGCTGGTAACCCATGTCATACAAAAGCCCTGTTGTTTCCCACAGGCCAGGGCATCGCAGGCTCTGCACACTTTCTGTTGTAGATGGTCAGTGAGGGGGCAAAGAGCAGGATGGTGGGATTGTTTTTTGGGAGGATGGGGCCAGACTGGAGAAATATCAGGCTGGTGTCTGGATGGGAGAAAGATAAGACCCACTCTCTATTCCTCCTTTAGTTCTCCAGCTTGGCTTCTTAGGTTCACATCCATGACCATATCCACAACCGTGTCCATATCCATGTCAATCCACTACCACAAGCCAGCTGCATTCTCTGCCCTTTCATTCATTGCCTCTTCTTTCTTGCAGTCACCCGTCCAACCCCTCCTGCTCAATGGCCACAACACACAACAGGTAATTCCTGCTCAACCAGTTTAGGTTCAGCTTTGCAGTGGGTCCCAGTCTGGCATAGGAGGGGAATAGGGGCTTCCTCCTTGGCTGATCCTGCTCAATGGACGACTGCTGGTCCTTTCTGCCCTTGACATCTGCAGGGTGCATGAGTTGTCCTCCTCAGGGAATAGGTCAATCTCAAGGCTTTCAAAGGGCTTTTCTGCAAATGACCCAATGTCTTGATGACCTCTGCCCTCAGGCAGATCCCTCAGGCCCCCCGCAGCAGTTTCCTGGACAGGACAATTCTACCATATGTGCACCCCGGGGTCTTTACTCCATCCCTGCTCACCCCTGGTCCCCTTGAGCCTGCACCACCCCAGTTCAAGGTCACCACAGCAAAATCAGCTGGGGAGGTGGGGGCTGTGGATGCCAGGCTGGAGTGACCCTGACCCATGGCATGTGTCCGTGCCAGGTGCCAGGCTGCGCCTGCGGGGCGGCAGGAACGGCTGCCAGGGCCGCGTGGAGCTGTACGACGGCAGCACGTGGGGCACGGTGTGTGATGACCAGTGGGACCTGCGGGATGCCCAGGTGGTGTGTCGGCAGCTGGGCTGTGGGGAGGCCCTGGGTGCCCCACGCACTGCCCACTTTGGCCCGGGATCCAGCCGCATCTTCCTGGACGACGTGCAGTGCCGTGGGGACGAGCCCTCCCTGCGGATGTGCAGGCACAACGGCTGGGGAGTGCACAACTGTGGGCACGTGGAGGATGCCAGTGTCATCTGTGCAGGTGGGTGGGCAGCAGAGACCACGGGATTTTTTGCACATCGTTCTGAGTGGGTTCCTAATTTTTCCTCTGGGAGCAGCCATGCTGACCTCCCTTGGGAGAGCCAGAGCAGGGAGGAGAGGTTGGGGTCTTCTGCTGCCTGGGGCTGAAGCCCATGGCATACAAATGCCCGGTTGTTGCCCACAGCCAGGGCACAGCAGGCTCTCCACACTTGCTGGTGAGGTGACAAAGAGCTGGATTGTGGGATTGTTCTTTGGGGAGGATTGGGCTGGACTGAGGACAAGTCATGCTGATGTCTGAATGGGAGAAGGGTAGGACAGAGCTCCACACTCCCTCATGTCATTAGTCCTCCAGCTCTGCCTGTCTTCTCCTTTGCCATGTCCTTTGCCATTGCACTAATGACCTCCCTAACAGAGATGTCCACCCCACTGGACATGAGCACCACAGAGCCATCCACAGCCAGAGCAGGTGTGTCCACCCCAGCAGAGGTGACCACCCCAGTGACAATGCCTGCCAGAGCAGAGGAGAGCACACCAGGTAACCCTGCCCATGATCACTCAGTGGTCTCCTTAGTGTCCCTGAGATCTTCCTTCCAGACCTGATTGCATTGCAGGCAGTCTCCCAGACTTGGGCCACTCCAGTTAGGCCATTCCTGGCACCCCAGACCACAGGGAGGATGCAAGCAGAGCATGGAGAAGAGTTGGGAAAACACTAGGGGGACACTGGGGCTTGAGTCCAGGAACTCTGTAGCCATTGATGGTGAGGGAAACTATTCAAAGAGGGATTCCTTCTCACTGCAACCAAGGGCAATGCACTGGGGGAATCATTCTGCTTTGCTCCTCCAGCTCATGCATGGGCACTATAGCAGAGCAATTTCCCACACATGTTCAGGGCTTTGGAATATGACAGGAAAAAAGCAAGCTGTTACATCAAGTGTTTTGCAATTCGAGATAGGTCACTGGGGGATCAGGGCTCCTCCCCAGAGTGCAGATGGCAAAGATGCCATGGTCATTTCAGCTGAATGAAAAACCACCACAGGACATAAGAGGAGTCACAGGACAGGGACTGCTTGCAGATGGGCTATTTTGGGGTGCCTGAAATGGGCTGGATCTGCTCGGAGCCTTTTTCATTGACACCAAATGCTTAATTGTACCTTTACCTCTATCTCAGTGCAAAGACAACATATTCCACAGGGAATTTCTGCCCACCACACCCATCCCTGTCCTTGCAGGGAACCTGCAGGCTCCCAGCTGTAAGAGCATATGTGGGGACAGAAGGGTACTGGGCTGGTGGGGCTGTGACCTGATGCCTTGTGTCCGTGCCAGGTGCCAGGCTGCGCCTGCGGGGCGGCAGGAACGGCTGCCAGGGCCGCGTGGAGCTGTACGACGGCAGCACGTGGGGCACGGTGTGTGATGACCAGTGGGACCTGCGGGATGCCCAGGTGGTGTGTCGGCAGCTGGGCTGTGGGGAGGCCCTGGGTGCCCCACGCACTGCCCACTTTGGCCTGGGCTCCGGCCGCATCTTCCTGGACGACGTGCAGTGCCGTGGGGACGAGCCCTCCCTGCGGATGTGCAGGCACAACGGCTGGGGAGTGCACAACTGTGGGCATGTGGAGGATGCCAGTGTCATCTGTGCAGGTGGGTGGGCAGTGAAGGCAGCTGAGTCTCCTGTGGAGCTTATAGCCTAGCCCCAGTGTCCCCATCCCCTCCTCCCTGTGATCCCCATCCTGATGCCCTGTGTGCCCCGGAACCTTTCTCACGAGCAACACATTTCACTTGTGTCTCTTCTTCCTTCACACCCACAGCTCCTGCGGCCACCACGCCACCTCCATCAGGTAATGCTCTTCTGTGTCTCTTCTCACTTTTCTAATTTGTGGGCTGTCTCCCTTTAACACATTTTCTTTTTAATTTGCCTTTTGCCTCTGTGACAGCATCACTTTAATCTTGTGTGGTGATTTCTAGACAGGCTGTGATGTCCCCTTGCCTTGCAATGATGCTTTTTTTGCAACCATGCTGATTGGCTTTGTCAAGCCATTTCCTTGCTGGGCAATTCAGCTGGGTCAAGGCCTAGGAAATATTATCTAAATCTCCAATTTCTAACTGCATTCATAAACATTGGGAGAATGGTGTTCAAGTATGGCAATGTGCAATCTAAGGCACTTCTGCTTGCTAGAGCTGTCACAGTCTCTTTTATATTTTTGCCTTAGAAAGCAGATTTTAGATTTAGAGCTTGACCATTCACAGTTGAAAAGAATATGAAAGTGAATTTTGCTAGAGCCTGTCCAGTCTGATCAGAGGAAGAGTCAGTGTCTGGGTACAGCTGATGACCCCAAGCTTGGAATAGCCTGTGAATCCCAAAATCCTGAGGCAGGGAGGCATGTATTGTACTGATGTGTCTCTGTGCAGGACTATAAAATGGGTTGTCACCTCTACATGTCTCATCTTGTAGCATTTAAGTTCAAAGCTTGTATTCACCTCCCTACAGAAGAGCTTTTAGGATTACCTCTGTGTTTAACAAGAATTATGTAATTCATGCTAAACATGGAACACAAAAGCTTTTTCAGCTATGTTTATAGGAGAAATTAGTTATATTTAAGACTTTCTCCAGTAGCCTGGAGTGCTTATTTCAGTCTAAGACCATAAAATCATGGAGTTTCCTAGAAGACTTGCAACTTATTTACCCTCCAAAGTCCTTAGGGGAATAAAGAGAAGCAGCAGAGTAACTGAGGAGAGGGTGTTTGTTGAGGAAGGTACTTCCATTTAGACTGCCATGACACCTCCCAGAATCAGACCCTGGCTGTGAAAAGGAGAACAGACCAGAGCAGAAAGCATCAAGGTGTTTCCAGCCCATCCTGAAGAGGGTAGTCTGACACCACAGATGTGACAGGGAATTCCAAATCCAACAAGAAAGTAAAGCTAAAGCAAAAAAACAAATATTTGTTTTGATTTGGCTCACACAGAATATCACCCACAGTCAGCAGGGGACCTGCTTTTCCACAGCTACTGGTGAGATGTACAGCTCAAGTGCACTTTTGCAGAGGTTACTGTAAGTAAATTCTCTTCCATTTCTTTCTGCAGCACCTTCTTTTTGTGGCGGCTCAATCTCAGATTCCTCTGGGGTGCTGCAGAGTCCCCACTACCCTGGAAGTTATCCAAACAACGCTGACTGCGAGTGGCAAATACAAGTCGAGAGCAATTTCCGTGTTACACTCACATTTAGAGATATTGAGTAAGTAAGACACTGATTCCCTGCACAAATAACAAAGTCAGAACTTACTTGAGAGGTTTGAAAACTCATCTAAGACAGGTAACCTTACCAATTTTAAAGATACTTTCAATAACATCTGGCAATTGGAAGACCAGATCAAAATCTAGATTACTGTGGTATTTTTTGCTCACAATTTTCTGCTACAGCTACATACAAACCAAATGAAACCTCTCCTGAAGGATTTTATCCCATGTTAGGCAGTGAAATCAGAGTCTCTGGAAAGGATTTAACAAGGTGCTCATGTTTCTTCACCAGGATGCAAGGCAGCACGTGCCAGCATGACTACGTTGAAGTCTATGACGGGCCTCGACACACTTCCCCACTTCTTGGGAGACTTTGCTCTGGTTCCTTCCCCACATACATGTCCTCTTCGAACATGATGACCGTTCACTTTCACAGTGATTCTAGATACTCCTTCAGAGGCTTTCAGGCTCACTACTCCTCCATCCCAGCAGATCACAACACCAGTAAGTCCTCAGCTGGTGTTTCTCAACAGACAAGCTTATTTGTTGCTTTTGTTTGCAAAATAAGTATTTGTGTAAATTTAAAGATGTTTGTGGAAATTGAATGATGTGCGTGAAACACGATGGGTCGGGGTGTGAACTGCCTGACTTCTAAATTAAGAAAACAACACTTAGCTCGATTGCAACCTTTAATCATTAACAAATTCCTGAAGTCACTAATATATTGTACCTCCTTCTTCTGCCAGCCCTTCTGTGCCTACCAGACTACATGCATGCAGTGGTGAGCAGGGATTACCTCCAGTCTCAAGGCTACTCAGCCCAGATGGTCACCCTGAATGACAATCGCTGCAGACCAACCATCACCCCACAGGAGGTTGTGTTCAACATTCCCTACGACGGCTGCGGGACGACACGAGAGGTACATCCACCAGGGTGGGCTCTGAATTGCAGGACCCGCTGTGAGAAGAGTCACAGAAAGGCCACTGTGGCCAATGAGACCTGGAGGTCTAACTGTTCTAGCTTTCCGAGCCTTAGGGAATATCTGTGCTTAATAAGAAGGAGCTTCTAGGGAGGAAAGCATGGGAGAGAGCTATATGAATTTTCTGTGATTTAAAATAGATGCAGTCCTGTAAGTGCACAGGATGGGGATGCCTGTGTTCCACACAACTGGGGTTTGTACAGATGTTCAATGAGTTGGCTCTGCCTTGGATTTAACAGAGTTTTTCTCCACTGAATTCTGCTTAATTACGTACAATTTACAATGTGTGAGCAGAAAAGACCAACATCAAGCTCCTTGATTTAAAGCGTGTAAGATGAACCCACAATTTTAAAGTGCATATTTAAGCTTATCAAACCTTAGAACTTACATGGAATGTGACAAAAATGCAATTCCTCATTTTAAATTGCGCATTAAACAGGAGAACAACGACACAATCAACTATTCCAACACGATCAAAATCGCATCTTCTGGGTACATAATCAAGAGGAAAAAGAACATCAACTTGCATATCAGTTGCAAAATGCTGCAGAAGACGTGGATGCAAGTAATGTACACTGCTGAGGACACTGTGGATGTGAATGAGTATCAGTTTGGAAGATATGACATGAACATCACCTTCTATGATTCCTCGGCGTTCTCGCGGCAAGTGCGCAGCTCCCCGTACTTCATCGACTTGAACCAGAATTTGTACCTTCAAGCTTGTCTTCACAGCTCAGACCCAAATCTGAAGGTGTTTGTGGACACGTGTGTGGCATCGCCTGATCCTCGTGACTTTCACACTCTGGCCTATGACATAGTCAGGGACGGGTAAGAGCTCTCTTCAAGCTGTTAGAAGCACCCCTGTAATCTGCATTTATTTAAAAGAACAGAACCAGTCTGAGTCAGGTTACAACAGACTGTTAAAAGGGGTCTTTGATTTTTTTTTATTTTAGCAGCACGAGCCTGAAAATAATAAATTGCATTTAGACCTTACTAACATTTCTTTTCAATTACTTCATCTTTGTCCTATAAGCAAAATTCGAAGTAGTGGGAGCGACGTAAATGAGGTAGTGAAAACTGGCAGCAGGAATCTGTAATCCTAGGAGTTTAATGTTTTAGTAAAGCCAGGTCAAGAATTAGACTAACTTTTTTACGCCTTGCACAGCACAGATATTAGTAAGAGTCTGCTGGTCCTTCTTCTTTAATTGTCCTCCTCTTGGGGAAAAAAAAAGAGTTGTCAATGCTCTAGCTTTTTCATAGGACTTAAATAAGTCTATATTTTTAAAGTCTATCTGCTGTGAAAGTTGCATTTTTATCCCTTTGTTTTTAGTATCTGACTATGATATAGTTTAGTTTTAATCTATTGTATTTTTGCAGGAATGTGCACCTGCGCATCCATGAAGGCTAACTATCTTTTTTCATTCCTTTCTAGGTGTCCCAGAGATTCCTCCTATGCCACGTTCTACTCCCCTTCCAGCCACTTTGCTCGGTTCAAATTCAATGCCTTTGAGTTCATCAGCCGCCACCCCTCGGTGTACCTGAAGTGTGAGCTGATGGTCTGCAGGCTCGGGGACTATTCCTCCCACTGCTACCGGGGCTGCACCAGGAGGTCCAAGAGAGACACAAGTTCTGTCGAGGAAAAAGTGGACGTGGTCGTCGGGCCAATTCAGCTCCGAGAAGGGGCTGCTCAGAGTGGGAATACTACTAAAGCCAAATAAATTTCTCTCACGTTTGCTGTAAGGTGACTTCAGGCTCCAGGAAAAGCCATAGCTCTGCATTTCTGTCACTGCAATCTGCTTTTGCCCAATTCTCCGTAAAAAGGAAGCTATCAGCTCCTTGCAAACCCACTATTTTTACCTGCGTATTTAAAATGTATAACTGCTCTGACTGTCCAAAAGGAGAGATTGCTTATAACCCATTTTAGTGCTGTGACTCCTTGAATTGAATTAGTTCCAATCTGCTTGTGTAATGGCACTTGGGGACGTGGTTTAGTGATGGACTTGTCTGTTCTAGTTTAATGGTTGGACTCGGTGATCTTAAAGGTTTTTTCTAACCTAAATGATCCCATGATTCCATGATGGTCAGCTGGGAGCAAACATCCAGCCTCCTTGAGAAATATCTCATTCCCTCAGTTGTCTTCTGCTTATGAAGTTGACCTAGTTAAGTTGTCACCCCTGCCAATACAAAGCCTGTCCAAATAGTTGAAAGCAATGAATCTGTGATAAGATCACTTACTTCTGATTTCAATCTGGGAGCCATCCCTTTAATGCAGGAGCTCTTTGTGCCCTGATCTTTAATATACTGAGATCAAACTCCACCAACTTTCACTTGTAGGGCTGGGCTCTTCTGTGCCTCCTCCCCAGGCGGTCCCCACTGCTGCTGACAGCTCCCTCACCCTGGTTGTTGGTGCTGTTGCCATCCTGGCAGCTGCTGGTTTTGTTCTTGATGGTTTTATTGCAAGGGCAGCACTGAAGAAACTGCTTTCACATGGGATAATGTCAGTTCAAAGGTCAGCACCACCCACTAAATGACCACAGGGCAAACATCACGTATCACCAGCCGCCAAAGTGCTTCGCTGATGACAGTCACACATGTGCCACTTGTGGGAAGCCATGATATCTTCACCTACAATGAATCCTAGCCTGCTAGAGTGCTTTAGAATAGCTTTATAACCCTAAAATCTCTTAAATAATCATCTCAAATAATTTCAATAGTCATGCCACAAGTTGTTTGATACAACCATTTTATCATTTTTCTCCTCTTCAGTTCTCTTCTCATGTCAACCTAAAACCATTTATCTGATGCCTCAAAAGGTTTTGTGAGTTTGACTGAAAATGTGAATGAGGTACCATAAATATTTCAAGGCTTATTAAAAGGGAGGAAGATTTAATTTGGGGAGAATGGGTCATGTCTGGAAAGGAAATGTAAAAACTGATCTCACCACAGCAACTGGAATTGTGGCTATGCAATATTCTAATTCTTTTGAGCATTGCTTTTAATGCTAAATTTCTTGGTGAAACAATAATGGGACTGTGCTTATTTAATGCAGAGATTTCCAAGCTAAAAGTAATCTGTTCTGTGAGCAGTGTAATTTATAATCAAAAGAAGGAATGTTTACAAAGAAATAAATCTATTTTGTCTTTCAAATTAATGTCTCTGTGCTTAAAGTACAAACAAATGTTTTACTGTGTTGAAGAGTGTGGTCTGTTGGATTAAAAATTCCAAGTGATGGAATATTTGACTTTCCAATATTTGACATTCTGCCCATCAGCTGTGTTTTGAAACACTTCTACACGATGTTTTGAAGAGGTGTGAGGTACCTCTGTCTTCTATAAGTGTTCAGCACAGCTACAGCAAGGAATTTTAATGGAGTTAAATTGTAAAGGGTGGGTAAAAAATTAAATAAAGTTTAGCAGGAAAAGAAAAAAAAAATCCAAACAACACAGGGAAGGCCTTGAAATACTCTCTGATTCCTCACTGATGATAGAGATATTTGCAAAGCTAAGAAGCAACAGAGCACAGAAGTCATTGTGCCATTTCCCTTCATCACAGGGGCTTCTGCTCAACCAGAGCATCAAAAGCATCAAAATGATGGATATTCCCAACAGACATTTCTCCAGCTTGCTGAGGCAATCCCTTCTCATGCTTAAGGAGACTCAATATTGAAATCAGCATCACCACAGAAAAGGCTTCCCACAATGTCTGTCCTCAGTTTTCACTGTCTCTGGCCAAGCCCAGGAGTTCTTGTCCTGTCCCTGCTTGCCACTGGGAGGAAGTTTCTCTGCTTTCTTTTGAGGTGCACTTTTTAGCTGAAAATTGATATTTTTCCCAGTAAGTTTTCACTTCTCTAGATAGAATTAATCCAAGTCCAAAAGATGTTTTGTTAAAGATGTTTGCTGAATCGCACAGTCTGACCTAAAGGCTTGCCAAATCAGTTGGTAGCCTTCCCACTGACACACATCCTGAACCAGGTAAAACCATAAATCTCATCCAAGAGATCAATTCTCAGCCAGAAGACATTTCAACTGTCACCAAAACATCATTTAAAAGTTAAAAGACATTTCATATCTGCTTTCCAGAAGGGTTTTTGTTCAATTTTTATTACTTTTGTCTGCTGATCACGAAATTATTTAATTTATTTTCCCCTGCATGGTTGTATGCTTTGTGGTTGTGAGGAGTTTGGCTTCTCAGGACCTACCCAGCCTTTCAGAATGTCTTGTGTGCATTCACAAATCAGACTGAAATATGCTGGAAATGCAAACACCCAAATCCCACATAAACATTTATCACTGGTGCATGAAAACATGAAAAGCAAGACCTGAGATTTTTGCCTTTCATGTCCTGGTTAAAAATACAAAGAATTAAAGCCAAAATGTAAACTGAATTTGCTTATTTGGCCTTTTGTTTTGGTTTTTTGTTTATTTTGTCTGGGATCAGTGTTATACCAATGTCATAGTGAAGCCTGCTGCCTGCGAGCACAAGGATGTCAAGAGCATGTGGTTTTTAAATGAGCATGTGGTTTTTAAATGAGCTTTCTGGGTGCTGCTCATTGTTGTCACCTCCTCCACTCTCAGAGAAGACACACCATCCACCATTTGGCAGCTTTTTACTGTGAATAACCATATGATTTTGGTGTTAGATTACTTAATTTCTTCCTAGTGTGCCTGTCATGACTGAAACATGTAGTCTTTACTTGTTCACCCAGTAGTATGTACTCAACTAACCATCTCAGCATCAAATAAACACATTTTCAGCATCATGACAAAATCCCTTACAAGTGTCAACCTAATGACTGGAGTACACCACTACCCCAGTTTTGGCTGGGATAGAGTTAATTTTCTTCCCAGTAGCTGGTACAGTGCTGTGCTTGAATCCCAATTTGGTTTCAAATACACACATATTTTTTAGGAAATAATTGCTCAGGGTCTATGGGTTCCCAAAGTTTTGTTGTTCCCAGTGTTACAAGATCACCTATTTGGCCAGCACCGGGTCTGAAGCAAAGCTCAGAAACAAAGTCCTTGTTTGCTTGTTTGTCTGCTGAATTTCCTGTGCTTTGCTGCCCTGTTTATCTTTCTATTCTAATTTTGGATTATGAAGCAGACAATTCAGCTCTGCAGTCCTCCTTCCCAGGAACCCACTAGAAAAATATTTATAATTGGGTATAAATAAACACGGTTTTGTTTCTGCATCTCGTAGCTAGCAAGTAGATTCATCTTTCAGTTGTTAATAACAAATCCTCATGCAGGCTGAGATTTAAAAAAGCTAATTAGGGTTTGCAGGGTAGGTACAAGAAACATGATTTTTCTGGCTTTCATTACTTTCCCCCCATCCTTTCTCATAGAATCCCACAGATATTCATTGACACCAAGCTGAATTGAGCAGCTAAGCATAATCTTCTGCCCATAGTTCAGGCTTAGGAGTCCTTTAATGCCTGAGTCTAAAAGCTTGTACCAAATTCCAGTTAAATGACTAAAGGAATACACTCTGGAGATCACTTCACTTGACTCATAATTTAATTTTTTTTTTATTAACTTCATCAGACTCACTAACTCACCATCCAGTTTTAAGAGGGTTGCTCTAGGCTCTACCTTGAAAGGGAAATTAGGCAGAGAGCACTGCAGCTGGGCTGCTCAGTTTTCCACTGTGCTTAATAAACTCTGAGGAAACAGCATTTCTTGAGACTGACCCCCCCACTGCCTTTCATTTGTGACAAATTTCACATAAAAAGAATTGCAATCCTTTGCTCTCCAGCACCCCCAAACCCAAGCACAATTTTTTTTTTCACACTTCATGTTAAATGCCTTTTTTTACAAGCAGGATATATTTTCCTTATTTATTTGTTTTTTGTTATTTTGGTAGTTAATGTATCATGTATTTATTTATATTACTATTTATTTATTATTTATTTGTGAGGTTTTATTTATAATTATTATTTTATGTGTTATTTATTAACCTGAAACAGGTTGTCCAGAGAAGCTGTGGATGCCTCATCCCTGGAATTATCCAAGGCAAGGTTGGACAGGGCTTGGAGCAACCTGGGATAGTGGGAGGTGTCCCTGCTCATGGCAGGAGGTGGAAGGAGATGATCTTTAAGGTCCCTTCCAACCCAAACTATTTTAGCATTCTATTTTCATGGAGTTTTACTTTATTTTTTATCTGTTTGGCAGTTTTTATCTAAATGGGAAAAGACTGAGGAGACACTAAAATTCTCATAGCACTTGTGTACCTCAGATTTTCTCTCTCAGACTCAAGGACCATGACACAAAAAGTCTATTTTAATGACATCCCTCCTGGCTGAGAAAACTCGTCAGTGACCCGTCTGCATCACTGGGAGTGAGATTTGTTTTCATTTCCTAGAACAACACTTGGATCACCTCTTTTGCCCTGAATCACTGGGTACCCATCCAAGCAGATTTTTTTCTTCTTCTTTCTCAGATAAGTGGATTAGTCACAGGGTGTAATGTAGAAATTAATTGTACTGCTGCTGTTCTAAAGTCTGAATGACTGCCATCTTTTCTCTTGGTTGGGTTTTTTTTCCCCCAGTTTTCAGGAACTACAGTTTCAAAGAGATGGGTTCTCTCTTTCCTCCTAGTGATCGATACTGAGGTGTTTCTGAAGCGTTTGGCATTAGTTGTCACCATCTTGCACTGCTAATCCTGGATTCAAGCAGGGCTTTGTTGCATGGTACACGATGAAAATTGAGTTATGTTGATATGAGGTCTCTGTTCTCCCATGAAAGGAGGTGTCAGGGAGCATGACTTAATGCAACCACCTGAAAGGA